ATGACACCTCACATACCTGAATCTTCATCAAGATAAATATGAAAAGATGGACAAATGAAAAGGCTTCTTCGCCTCAACCTGAACAATTTGATCTGAAACAAAATATTTCCATCTAACTGCTTCATATATATAGAAGTAATTCTTAGATCGCGAGACATCTCGAGATCGATCGCTAGCTAAATAACACTCGCACGACACCCTCCCACTCCCCCCTCCGACTGAAGCAGTATTGACTGTCGAGACGAACGCCATAGTACTTTCCTACTCATATATATTTAATTAATTTAATGGTGCCAGTTTATAATCAGGAAAGAGGAAACTGCTTTTTAGTACGGACTGTAAAAAAATTTTGCAGTCCGCACTCCCAAAACGATGTCGTTCTTTTTTTTAATCTGAAAAAAAAAAAAAAAACCCTCATTCCTCTTTAAATATTGGCAAAAACCAACATTCAACCTCTTACCTTACAAAATTTATAAGTTTTAGTTCATCATCTTACAAAATTGATAAATTTTAACCCTTTACCTTATATTATGATATTTTTAACTCATCACCGATACAAATTAAAGAAAATAACCCCTACCTAATATCAAGTTATAATGCTCTGTTAATTCTGTTAGTTGACTGTTAACATCTGTTAGCATTTTATTATAAAAAATATGAAATTTAAATTCAATTTTATTTGTTAGTTTCATTGACGAAATGCTAACGGACGCTAACAGTTAACTAACAGAACTGACAATCAGCTAATAGAATTGACAGTCAATTAACAGAACTAATAGAACATTAAAACCTGATGTTAAATACATGCTATTTTTTTCGATTCGTATAGATAAGGGGTTAAAATGTGAGGCTAAAACCTATCAACTTTGTAACATAAGAGATTAAAATTTATGAATTTTGTAAGTTAAAAGGATAAAACTGTCATGTTGAGAGGCTAAAATTTATCAATTTTGTAAAGTGAGGGGCTCAATCTTAGTTTTAACCTTAAATATCCAACAAGCTCCATTAATGCATCTTTCCAAAAGCTTCTCATCAGCTCAATTCTCACTGTTCTTATACAATGTGTTTTCTGGCCTGATAAAATTTTTGAGCATTGGAAGCAACTCTGTACAGGCGGAGAGATAGTTTGCTTTGGATGGATTGAGAGTGATTTTGGGGTAGAGAATGAACGTTGTCGGAAGACAGATGGCGAGATCTAGTGCCACGGCGCACCACCGTCGGCAATTCTCCGATAACTTCCTGGACGCCACGTTCAACGCGAAATGGATTCAGTCCACGAATTTTCCCTCTTCACAGGTCTTCGATCTTAGCTCCCTTTACATTTGAATTTCAATAAAGTGTCACGTTCAATCTAGTTCTAGCATTTCGTGAGAGCTGAGCGTTGGTTTTTGTGGCACAAGATATTGGATACTATGGACGAGTTCAGGGGTGAAAAGTGAGCAGGAAGTCACCGGACCCGGAATCGCCTCCGGTAAGTTAGAGGTCGTCTAGTTTGAGAAAGAACGGCGACGAGCTCGTTTTGCCCAGTGAGTTTAGGAATGAGGGCTTTTTTCCCGTTAAGAAAAGGACGACGTCGTTTTTGTAGTGCGGATTGTTATGTTTTTTTACGGTCCGTAAAACACTTTGAATGGAATTTTGATCTTCGTCGTTGCTGTTTTTCTAGCTAATTTGATTGTGTACTTGAGAGTTGAATATTTTTTTTCAGTAATTTAATTAAAAAAATAATTTTTATAATTATAAAAGATAATAATTTTTTATAAAATATGTTACTCAATTTTACCCAAATTTTAGAGACAGCTTTTCTTTTCTGTTCCAAACTTCCAATAGATGTAAATTTTAACATTTTATTCAAATGATTGTTTTCCTTCAAAAAAAGATCTTTGGGTGTTGATTTATTGACGTAAGTTTTGCTGCACAAAAAAGAAAAAAGTAATTAAATAATTGTAATGAAAAATCTATTAAATTTTAAAAGAAAATATTAATAGAGTAAATATATTTGTATCTTGTATGTACTATTATTGGTGGTTTATCTAACATTTTAATATGTGCTGTAGATTTTTTAGTTGTACGATTGAATAAATAACATAATGATTGACAACCATTATATTTATTTGTTGTAGTGAAATTTTCTTCTATTGTATTTGATAACTTTGTAAAAAAAATAAAATATTTGGATTTTGAATTTTATATTTGAAAAATGAAGGTCTACAATTTTTTTAAGGAAAAGTTCAAGATTTTGTAGATAAAAATAAAGTAAAAAGCTCAATATACCAACTTTGAATGGATTTGTTCGAGGACCAATTACATTTGGTTTAGAGTATTCAATTTCTTCTTTTTCGTTTAAATTACATTTTGTCAAGATTTATAGTTATACCTGAGTTTATGTATTATGAGTATTTAGCAATTTTTTTTAGTTTGCGTAAAATTCTTCTTGACTAAATCAAGTTTTTTTTTGTGGATTTCTAGTAAATTTTTATTTTTAACATCTCTTTACGACAAAAAGATATCTTTTGAAGGCATTGGTTAAAAGATACTTTATTTTATTTTACTAAAAAAAAAATAAGAAAAAAGACACCATATGTGAAAATAAATCCATGTCTATTAGGAAATCAAGCATGAAACTATAAAATAGGCCTTAGAATTGATTTAGTTTCAGTATTGGGTAGAGGCCATATATTTATCTGTAAAGGTATTAGCAAGGCAATATTGAAAATTTTCATTTAATAATTAAATTTTAGTTATTAAAGGATAAAAATAACTATTTTAAATTTTCAAAAAACTAAATATTCATAAATAGTCTTAAGAAGTAAAAATACATTGTAATAGTGTTTAATCTACTAAGGCTTAATTAAATAACAACAAATACTAATTATCTAATTAAATAAACAATATATACTAATTATTTAACATTTGAAAGTCCAATAAATACACATGATAATCTTAGCGGTTCAATAATCATCCTAAATTTCATCCACTTCCATCATTGGACTCTCATATTAATTATCTGGTTCAATAGATAGTTCTTCAATATGTTTCTTGTGGATTCAATAATCAATATCAATGTTCTTATCCTCATCTTCTTTCCAAATGAAGCTAACATCCACGTTGTACTCTTCTGCAATAATATCTTCCCATTTCCACTCATCCTTCACAGGAGTGCTCATATTTTTCTTAACCATTTTCATTGGTGGTTTGGTTGTGGCGATCAAAAAGTCTACTAAATCCCTAAAAAAAGAAAAAGAAAAGAAGTAAAATGTTAAGCTAAAATATAAGATAATAGGGTCAAATAGTTCAAACAAAGAAAAAAAATCATTACGTTAATATGATTTCTTCATTTGTAGGGAGATAATCAAACTCTGGTAATGCCAACTTCTTCAGTAGTGGTAATATGTCTTCAGTTCTTCCAGCTGGTGAAGCAAACCTTTTGCTTCTGCGGTCAACAGTGATAGAATTTTCTGATAGTTGATTCTTACTATTGTTGTTGCCCTGAAAACTCATTTTTGTTACTTTTTCTTCAGTGAAACTCTGTTTTTGGTCTTCAGAATTATATAGGCTAGGAATATATAGTAGTTATCATTTCAAATTTGAAATAGAACAAGTTAATTTCATTATTGACCTACTTCATTAAGCAGTTTTATTTTAACGTGAGGTATTAGATGAGATTAGTACTAATTCCAGAACCTTTAAAAACAGTTTATAACAGTTTAAACTTTGTTTTATATGTTTATTAATTAGTTCTAAAGATGAGTAATTTGGTGCAAGCTAAGCTACTATTTGGTTTCTTAACTTATGTTTTCAAAGATTGAATGTAAGTTGAATGACATGCATGTATATTTATATGCTTCTCATGATGGTTTATGTTATAAACAGATTTTCTTATGCATAATCTTGTATATATATGTAGGAAAGTGTTATGATGTTGCATATTTAATCATCTATGCTTATGCTAACTGTAATAAGAACAACAGGACATTAATTTATTTTTACCGTCATTTTGGCCCGATACTTTCTATCCTTTCTATTTTGCTCCTCCCTCTTCATCTTCTCTTCTTCCTCAGACAGTGGTGGTCCCGGCAGACGTCCTGGTGTTCGCCTGTTTCCTGCTGCTTCATGGGCTCCAGTCCTTTTCTCCTTTCCAACCTCTGCCATGAATTCTTCCTGTGACAGAGACGATATATAAGGAAATTACTAATTAGGGTTACCTGATTTCATTTCCAATCATAAAAATTCAATACAATACAATACAATACAGTAGGATAATAGAAGAAATGAAACCTCACATACCTGAAGCTTCATCAAGATAAATATGAAAAGATGGACAAATGAAAAGGCTTCTTCGACTCAACCTGAACAATTTGATCTGTAAGAAAAAATTTCCATCTAACAGCTTGATGAAATTTATAGCAGTCGTAAAAGTAATTCTTAGATCGCGAGACATCTCGAGACGATCGCGAGCTAAATAACACTCGCACGACGCCCTCCCACTCCCCTTCCGACCGAAGCAGTATCGACAGTCAAGCAAAGCGAACGCCAGACTACTTTCCTACTCATATACTCCCCCTGTTCCATTTTATTTGACATTTTAGAGTAGGATTTTTGTTCCGTTTTATTTGACGTTTTTAGATTTTCAATACTCCTTTACTTATATTCTTCGACTTTTGCCCCCACTAACATAGCCATATTACTTTAATGCTTAGAATCCCAACAGGCATTTAGTTTCCTTTTCTCCCTCTTCTCCTCTAATGTTTGGCGCCTGTCACAATTAGCCTTCTTTTCCGGCTTCCTCATCGGCTTATAAACCCCCTCCGAGGCCATATCTCTATCCTGCTTTCCAATTTTTTTGTGTAATTTAATTGTTTTGGTTTAGGGAATAATCTAGAATTTGATGTGTTATGGGTTGTAAATTGTAATCGTGTTTTTTCATCTTTCATGATCATCAGAAGTCAGAACAACTTAAAAAATATCCATATTTTTTCCTACCGTAGAAGGATGAAGATTCTTCACTCTATTAAGTTGGTGTTAGACCTTGCGGACTACTTCAATTTGATATTTTTTCTTGAAATTTATGTTTGTGTTTATTTTTCTCCATGGTAGAGTATTGGCATATTTTTGCTTTGGAAAAATTAGAATGAAAAATAAAAAAAGGCAGATGAAATTCGAAAGAATGTGAACACAGCCGTTGAATTGGAAGTGCAAGAGTCAGAGAGAGAGAAGATTTTAGAACTGTTGGACTTCTAAACGATGACAGAGACAAAAGGTACAAATAGTATTTTGACTATAATTAACTCTAAAATTAAGAGTAATTAATTATGACCTTAATCCAAGTGCAATAGACCAAAACGTCACATAAAATGGAACAGAGGGAGTATATTTAATTAATTAATGGTGCCAGTTTATCCTTTCTATTGATTTTTTTGATATTTGATAATCACCTCGATTATACTTAAATAAAATCAAGTGAAATTCATAAAAAAAAAATTTTTTTACACATTTCTTCATTAATAAAATTTAAATTTCAAACTTTATTTTAAAAAAATTAAATTCATTTCTTTACAATCAATAAATCATTGGTATGGTATCAGTTTATAATAAACCTTAACCTATTATTTACCCTCTCTTTCTGTCCTTGCATGAACCCGTGTAACCTTTTCGACCCACTTAAGTAAACAACTTTTCGTTCTTTTTTTTTTTTTTTGTAAGTGCTAAGCAGGAAACCATATTGAACTATAGACTCTAGTATCAGAGCCCACCTCAATTGCCTTGCGGTCCGAATCCAATTCAATTCACACAATAAGATTTATAGGATTTTGTTTGATAAAGGCTATTCA